CTGTATGAAAGTCAAGTTTAAATCACATGATGGGGCATGTGAGCATAGTGCGATGGCCTTCACTCTTCTTAGTGAAGGAAAAAGTTGAGATGTGAATGACCCAGTTGGAGGTGAAACCTGGGATTGGCAGTGGGAGGAGCCTTCTGGGTCTTTATATCCCCTTAAAGCAAGGGATGGCTTTGTAAGTGCCCCTGGGTCTTTAAAATATATATATATATATATATATATATATATATATATATACATATATATATATATATATATATATATATATGTATATGAATGCTCTACCTGCACGTGTGCCTTCATGTCGGAAGAGGGCATCAGATCCCACTATAGATGGTTGTGAGTCAACGTGTGGTTGCTGGGAATTGAACTTAAGACCTCTGGAAGAACAGTCAGTGCTCAGAACCACTGCGTCATCTCTCTAGCCGGCCCCTGGGTCTTTAAATGTCTTCACTAGAAGTGAGAAGCTGTGCTCATAGCATGAGCAGGAACTCGTGTGTATGCAGCAGGTAAGGTAAGCCCCATTCTGTCTGCCTTAGTCTTCCTTATTTCCCCCAGGCCTTGGGGATTGAACCCAGGGCCTCATGCATGCTAGGCTAGTACTGTATCACTGAGCTATAGCCCTAGCCCTGACTTCTTTTTGAACATCATTTTTGGGATGTTACCAGTGTGGTTTCTGAGGTCTGGGGGAAAGCCCCTCTGCCTAGCTGTCTTCCTCTGAGTTCAGGTGCCCATACGGTTCCTGTGAGCCTCCCTCACTTTCTGGATTAGCCAACAGGGGTGGTCACATCTGTCTTTTGGAAACCCCCTTGCCTTTGTTTTTGAGTTTTCATCTTTACTGACTGTGCTATCTAGTTGTGGGTTTTTGTCAACTTGAAAAAAGCTGGAGTCATTTGGGATGTGGGTCTCTCAGTTGAGAAAATGTCTTCATGAGACTAGCCTGTAGGCAAATCTGTAGGGCATTTGCTTCATTACTGATTGATGGAGAAGGCCCAGCCCATTGTGGGTGGGGCCACCCCTTGGACTGGTGGTCCTGGGTGGTATAAGAAAACAGGTAGTGGGTGAGCGAGGCAGTAAGCAGTATGTAGAGGTCAGAGGACAACTGAAGGAGTTGGTTCTCCCCTTCCTCCTGGTGGGTCCCAGGAATTGAACTCTGATCATTGGGTTTAGTGGCAAGTGAGTCTTACCAACCTTGCTCTTTGGATTTTTAAATTTTGAGACAGGGTCTCACTAAGTTGCCCAGACTGGCTATTAATTCAAGCTGTAGCTTAGGAAGGCCTTGAACTTGGGATCCTCCTGCCTCACCTCCAGAGTAGCTGAGATTACAGGCATGAGCAACCAGGTCTGGTTCTTTCTACTTTTTAAAGGTTTATTTTTGCCGGGCGGTGGTGGCTGTCTTCGTTAAGGTTTTTATCGCTGTGAAGAGACACCATGACTATGGCAACTCTTAAAAAGAAAAAATTTAATTGGGGTGGCTCCCTTACAATTTTAGAGGTTCAGTTCATTATCGTCATAATGGGGAGCATGGCTGCATGCAGGCAGATGTGGTGCTGGAGTAGCTGATGGTCCTACATCTTGCAGGCAACAGGAAGTCAACTGTCACACTGGGTGGTATCCTGAGCATAGGAAACCTCAATGCCCACCCTTACAGTGACACACTTCCTCCAGCAAGGCCATACCCACTCCAACAAAGCCACACCTCCTAACAGTGCTACTCCCTATGAGATTATGGGGGCCAATTACATTCAAATTACCACAGTGGTGCATGCCTTTAATCCCAGCACTTGGGAGACAGAGGCGGGTGGATCTTTGTGAGTTCAAGGCCAGCCTGATCTACAAAGCAAGTTCCAGGACAGCCAAGGCTATTACACAGAGAAACCCTGCCTCAAAAAACATACAAACAAACAAAGATATTTATTTTATTACTAGTTTTTGAAGATTTACTTGTTCTGTATCATGTGTGTGACTGTTTTGTTTCTGTGTGTACACCACATACATGTCTAGTGCTAGAGGGGGCCAGAAAACAGTGTTGGATTGTCTGGAAGTGGAGTTAGAGATGGCTGTGAATTGTCACGTTACTGTTGGGAACTGAACTTGGATCCTCTGTAAAAGAAGCAAGTGCTCTTACCCACTGAGCCATCTCTCTGGCCTTCTTTTTTTTGTTTTTAAGTGTGTGTGTGTGTGTGTGTGTGTGTGTGTGTGTGTGTGTGTGTGTGTGAGTGCAGTGCCTTCTGAGGTCATGAGGCATGGTGTTCCCTAGAGCTGGAGTTATAGGCAGCTGTAAGAGCCACCTGCTGAGGGTGCTGTGAACCCTGGTCTCTGCAGGAGCAACATGTGCTCTTAACTACTGAGTCACTTGTTTTGTTTTTTAAAGTCTTTTTTTTTTTTTTTTTTTTTTTTTCTCTGCATGCCTCCCACCTCACCTCCAGGGCTAAAGCCCATGTAGACTTAGATGTTATCTTTATATTCTGCATGCACAGGCCTGGACCAAGAGCTCCTCCTTCAGCAACTGGAGATGATACTTAGAAGTTTGAATGTCAGGCTGGAGAGATGGCTCAGCAATTGAGAGCACTGGCTGCTCTTCCAGAGGACCTGGTTCAGTTCCCAGCAACCACGTGACAGCTGACAACTATGTAGCTCCAGTTCCAGGGGATCCAACACCCTCACACAGACGTGTGTTCAGGCAAAACACCAATGCACAGGAAATAAAAATAAATTTAGAGAGAGAGAGAGAGAGAGAGAGAGAGAGAGAGAGAGAGAGAGAGAGAAGAGAGAGAAAGCTGAATGTTCCTACCATTGCATACCTTCTTGAATGGCCTTACTTTAAAGATGAACAATAGGGTATAATGTACAGTTTCGGCGAGGACTAGAACCCTTGTACACTGTTGGTAAGAGTGTAAAACAAAGGTGAAAACCCTCAAAAACCTGCTATTGAATGTAGAATTGCCAAGTCACCAGCGCCAAATCTGGTCCTGCTCCCATAAGAAATATCTTAAGCCGGGCGGTGGTGGCGCACGCCTTTAATCCCAGCACTCGGGAGGCAGAGCCAGGCGGATCTCTGTGAGTTCGAGGCCAGCCTGGGCTACCAAGTGAGTTCCAGGAAAGGCGCAAAGCTACACAGAGAAACCCTGTCTCGAAAAACCAAAAAAAAAAAAAAAAAAAAAAAAAAAAAAAAAAAAAAAAAAAAGAAATATCTTAAACCTAGTTGTTTATAATATGAGAAGGTTCTCACAGTTCTGAAGGCTGGAGACATAAGATAGAGGAGCCAGCCAATTGTTTTCTGGTGAGGGCATTGTCTCTCAGCTACGGCCTCCTGCCCTTACCTTTCCGTCTCCCCATCCTCCAACTCCCCTTCTTCCTCCTTTTTTTTTTTTTTTGGTGGTGGTGGTGGTGGTGGTGGTGGTAGTGGTGGTGGTGGTGGTGGTAATTCTGTTGAAGGCAGGGCCTCATAAATACCAGACAGGCATCTTACTAACTGAGATCTTTCCCAGCTCTTAAAACTTAGAGTGAGGTTGTAGAACTGTAATTTACAGTATGTTTTCTGAGCATAGGAGATATGACTATTCCAAACTGAGACTTGCTATATGTGAGAAATTTACACTGAGTTTAAAAGTCTTGGCATGAACCAAAGAATGTACAATATCTTACCTCTATTTTTACTAATATTTTTCTCTTATTTTTTTATTAAGATTGATTTTTTTATTTTATATGTATGGGTGTTTTTGTCTGCTTGTCTGTCTGTGCACCAAATGCATGCATTGCTTGTGGAGGCCAGGAGAGGGCATCGGATCCCCTGGAACTGAGTGAAGACTGTGAACTATCACATGGGTTCTGGGAATCAAACCCAGGTCGTCTGGGAGAGTGGCCTGTGCTCTTAATTGCTAAGCCATATCTCCAGTCCCTGGTTTGTTTACTTATTTACTTATTGTTTGCATAAATTCAACTAATCAAATTCATAGTCCTCCAGTCTCAGCTTCCCAAGAAGTTGGGATATGGGTTTAAGTTACCTTGCTAGACTAATGATATTTTAATAGTGATTGCATATTATTCAGACAATAATATCTATACTATATTACATTAGATAAAACATTATTAATTTTTTAAAACAGTTGAGTGCTTCCTGGAGACATAATAGGTTTAAGAAGAAATAAAATTTGCAAGTTAAAAGACAATTTTCTTTCTTTCTTTCTTTCTTTCTTTCTTTCTTTCTTTCTTTCTTTCTTTCTTTTTCTTCCTTCCTTCCTTCCTTCCTTCCTTCCTTCCTTCCTTCCTTCCTTCCTTCCTTCCTTCCTTCCTTTCTTTCTTTCTTTCTTTCTTTCTTTCTTTCTTTCTTTCTTCGGAATACAGATGGGGGCCAGGGTGGGAGGTGGTGTGGTGGGGGGCAGTTTCATGTTGCCCAGGCTCATTATGTGGCTGACTGTCCTTGAACTCCCGATCTTCCTGCCTCAGACTGAGTGCTGCGCCACCATGCCCAGCCAAGCAATCATATTTTAGAGCTGGGAAGAAGCATACACACTTGATTTTCTTCTAAGAACAGGTTTTGATTAGGATGCCAAAACTGACAGCGTAACTAAGAGTCACTATAGAAAGAGTGCTTTCCTCCTGCAGAAAGCAAGAGTTACTGGCTCTTTGAATCAGTCGAGGAGTTTGGGAACTTTTCATAGATCAAGTATTCGTGTTCTTCTCCCTCCCGATAAGTGTGTATTGACCCCAGGGTTTGCTGCTAGGCCGAGGCTCTGCCCCTGAGCTACACCTCTAGCCTGATGGTGCTGCTCACAGTGGCTCCTATGATCAAAAGAGACAACAAGGAGCCCCCTACATGGGCTTTAAGATGCTCTGTGTTTTACCCCCACCGTGGTGTCTTCAATTTAAAAATGTAGAGCTTAAACAAGATGCATGGCCACATTCACCCCGCTTTGCGAAGGACATACTTGGAACAAGCGTTCTTTATGCTTTTACTTAATACTCACCTTTCATGTTGCCCTTCCTTCCAGATCAGCAACGTCTTGTTTTTCATTTTACCGCCCATCTGCATGTGCCTGTTCCGCCAGTACGCGACGTGTTTCAACAGCGGCATCTACTTAATATGGACTCTCCTAGTTGTAGTGGGTAAGTGGAGTCATGTGGGAACGGGGACTGAAAGGGAGGAAGTGGGACCCCGAACGTTTCCTGTCCCCTTTGAACATAATGTTTTGTAAACCAAAGTCACTCTGACGTCTTAGCCGTTGTTCCCCTGATGCCAAAAGGACTCTTGAGTGCCGCCTTGATAACAGATCTGCCTCTAACCCTCACAGACCGGCACTCAGAGTCTGTGGGCAGCCACTGTGGTGTGCCAGCACGGTTGTCTGAGGACCTCTGAAACAATTGAAGTCTGATGAGATATGGTTCAAAAGGACTTGAAGAAAGAAAAATATTTAGACGTTTGGTCCCTCATTGTTCTGTGAAATACTTGTGTGATTTCCATTTCCTCTCCGGCAGTTCGGGAATTCTTAACAGGGAGATAGTGTTGACTTTTATTTACTGCCTGTTATCGTGAAGGTTCAGAGGATGGAGCCTGAGTGTGCTTGGAATCCTTACTGTTGTGATGTGCTGATGTCTGAAGCAGTGGGCCTGTTGGAGTCTGCTCCGCATTCATTTTTTTGTTGGTTGTGATTGTCTCTAGGAATTGGATCTGTCTACTTCCATGCAACTCTCAGTTTCCTGGGTCAGATGCTCGATGAACTTGCCATCCTTTGGGTTCTGATGTGTGCTTTGGCCATGTGGTTTCCCAGGAGGTATTTACCAAAGATCTTTCGGAACGACAGGTAAGCTTGTGCTAAAGATTTTTGCTACATGTGGTTGCCAATGTAACACACTCATCAAGTTAGCAGTATAACACACTCATCAATTTATCAATGTAACACACTCATCAAGTTAGCAATGTAACACACTCAAGTTAGCAGTATAACACACTCATCAAGTTAGCAGTGTAACACACTCATCAAGTTAGCAGTGTAACACACTCATCAAGTTAGCAGTGTAACACACTCATCAAGCAAATTATTGCATGAGTGAGCTCAGCTAGCAACGAGCTCGATGTACACTTCCTTATTGTCCACCGAGTTTAATGATCTGACAGTACAGTTGACTGATAAAAGGAGAGAAAATGAGTTTACAGATAAAAGGAGAAAAGTTTGGGGAAGAACTTATATTATGGTATGGGCATAAAGTCAGAGATCTGATTTGTGTGATATGAGCAAGAGTGAAAACTCCTTCAATGGAAGAGAAAGTTCTGGAAGGTATTTCAAAGTCCTTTGGTTTCTTGCTAGAATATGTCCTCAAGTGTAGACCAATCCATCAGTTTCATACACATGAAGGAGGGTTTGTGCTGATGGTTTTGTTCTTGGAGGTACAGAACTAGTTTTAGGTTGTATCATATTGCATATTGGTTTTTTTTTTTTGCTTCTTATTAATGCATACAGATACACACTAGTGTACAATCTTTGTGTGTATCTGTTTGTGTGTGTATGTGTGTGTGTGTGTGTGTGTGTGTGTGTGTGTGTGTGAGAGAGAGAGAGAGAGAGAGAGAGAGAGAGAGAGAGAGAGAGAGACACTTAGGTGTAGATGGAAATTTCTCTGGTCCTACCTTGCCCAGCAGTCTGAACGAATCTCTCCCACCCCTGGTCCCACAACCGCTTATAAAATAATTGCTCAGAGGCTTATGTTAATTACAAACTGTATGGCTTATGGCTTCAGCTTTTGCTAGCTAGCTCTCTCATCTCAAATTAACCTATTCCTATTAATCTGTATGTTGCCACGTGGCCATAGCGTTGCCAGTCTGCTGGCATCTTGTTGCTCCTTTCCCGGCAGGCTGGCATTTCTCTCCCGGCTCCACCCTTCTTCTCTCTGTATCTCTGCTTGGATTCCCCACCTGGCTGTAAGCTTTCTTGCCATAGGCCAAAACAGCTTTATTTATTATCCAATGGGAGCCACACATATTCACAGCATTCAGAAAGAAATCCCACAGCACTCAGGACCAGAAACCCAGAACTTCTGCAAGGGATGCATTTCAATGTCAACATCCATTGTGTTAGGATTATATGGATACTGAGCAAGTCTTTTTGAACACTATTTTATGCTATGTATTTCTCTCAACCCCAAGATATAGCAGTAAGCAGAGCATCAGTTTCTTCCTCTAACGCACTTCCCCTGAAGTTGGGATGATTGCAAATGAACACACAAATGATAGTGTGATAAGTGCTGTGCTGGGAGATGGAGCTGGTGGCTGTGCCAGGGACATCCACCCCTGTTGATTTCCAGTTTGACCAGAGGAAGCCCAGCTGAGAAGCTGCCTGAGTGTGTTCTCATGTGAAGGCACAGGGTAAACCAGTCTACTGAAGACGAGAAATGCACCCAAACACATCAAACACGCCTTTCTCTATAGGATATTCTGTTTCGTCAGAATACAGATAAAGAGTTTAAAATTTTGGGGTCAGTGAAGCAAGCTATGCCTGTCTAGGGAAGAATTATACCAGGACAATAAAACAATTAGTGATAATTTTTCTGGCATGGTGGAAAAAGGCAGGAGCAATGCAGTTCTTAAAGATTAAGATTTCAGGGCCTGGAGTGACGACTCAGTGGTTAAGAGCACGGACTGCTCTTGCCAAGGACTCAAGTTCAGTTCCCAGCACCCATGTCAGGCCGTTCACAATTGCTTGTAACTCAAGCTCCAGGGGTATTCGACATCTCTGGCCTCTGTGAGCACCTGCTCTCATGTGCACATAATTAAAGATAAAATAAATAGAGAAAGAAAAACTTAAGACTGTTTTTTGAAGACTGAGTGGGAGGAATATTCATGGAAACTACTGACTGCAGTATTTTCTTGTGTAATATCCTATTTTAGGACCAATTAAGTAGATTACATACATACATATTTATATACATGTATAAAACAAACATATTTATTATTTAAAAATATTTTTAAAGATAAAAAAGAAGAAAGCAACTAAAGATATATTTATTTCATTATATATGTGTATATATATATACATATGTATATATATATATATGTTTTGTCTATGTGTATGTCTGTTGTTTGTTTTTGAGACAGGGCCTCATGCAGTCCTGGCTAGACTAGCACTTATTAGGTAGCTGAGCTGAGCCTTGAACTCCTAATCTTCCTGCCTCCACAATGAGGTAGAGAGAAAATATTCCTTGTGAATTAATCTTTGTCCTTTAAAGTAGGACTTGAATAGTACTATTTCTGAGTACCATCTAGAATTAGAAGTACCCTCAAGAAAGTTATTAATCAAAAAAAATGAGGAAGGGTAAGTTGGTAGACCTTTATCTTACCTTCTAATCAGCAGAGAAAGTATGCTCCAAGACCTCCCATTCCTTCTTTCTTTCCTGCTTTCTTTCCATCTCTGCCTGTCTGTTATTGGGAATTGAACTCAGGTCTTTGCACACATTCTGTCACTGAACTACATTCTTAACCCTAGAAAGTGTGCTTTACAATGTGCTCAGCAGCCAGGAGTGATGGCCACACCTTTAATCACAGCACTTGGGAGGCAGAGGCAGGCAAATCTCTGAGTTTGAGGCCATCCTGGTCTACAAAGTAAATTCCAGGACAGCCAGGGTTACACAGAGAAACCCTGTCTCAAAAAATCAAAAACAACAAAACAAAATAAAACAAAACAACAGAAAACAATATGCCCACGTTGCTGTGGTGTCCCCAGGGTCTCCTGTAAATCTTGATCGGTCTCAGGAGAAGCCCTGAGGGTGGGACCAAGAGCATGAGGCAATGTCACCTGCAGTTTTGCAGGTGAGGATACCCCCTCCTGCGGTGCCCATTGGTCACGTCAGGTGTTGCATTCTGCAAGGCTTAGGGATTGACAGAATTGGAGCAACAAGGGAATGAAGAAATGACAGACACACAGACAGAAGAGCTGGGATCCAGTAGCTCATGGCCTCTGATGGAGATGCACCAACAGTGGCAGCAATGTGGAAATTCAGTGCCTTTCTTTATACATCTGACTAGATGAGGTGAGGTTTGTGTATTCAGCTGAAGCAGGGCTAGTGTATACAGCTGAAGCAGGGGACATGGTTAGTATTACAGCTGAAGCAGGGTTAGTGTATACAGCTGAGGCAGGGGGCAGGTTTAGTTCATCTTGGCAGGAGGTCTCTGTACAGGAGCATTCTCTGGCTGTAAATATGAAGAGGAGGAAGTCACTGTGGACATTTTCTGCACACACTGTCTACATCCACATGCAGACCAGGGGAAGGCTTTGCAATTTCCTGAGTCTGACCCAGGGAAGGTCTTGGCATTCCTATGAGTCTGAGGCATTGTGGTCCTTGTCTTGACCACACTTATGTCCTCAGCATACACACACTCATGACTTCCTCAGCTCCTTACACTTTCTGGTGTCTTAGTTTGGACATTAAGAAACCACTTTCCCCTAAGAACTCATCTTTCAGGTTTTGGGATCTGAGTGAGAAACTGAAGAAACGAGAATAAGAATTTTCTCTAATTGTGGCTAGCATTCTGTAGTCCTGGGTTGAAATTCCAAGCGACAGTTTCGTTTTTCTTAGTTCTAGATCCCCTCTCCCACACCTTCATTTCATGGAGTAGAAGTCAGGAGTGTTTAAATGGGAGAAAAGGAAGCGGGGTGTTGATGTTGGTAATTGAAACCTGTCAACTTAATAATGAAAACACTGAGCATCAATGCTGGGGAATCAGGCGGGACTATCACGGCACTGTGCGGTATTGATGTAGGGAGGATGTGAAGATGTGAGCCCTGTGCCCTGGGTGTGGGGAGAGTCATCTGGAGGCTGAGGACCACAGGTCCTGTCCTGACTGGGGAGGGGTTTGGATTCCTGCTGTTGGTGTTTAGAAACTGGATGGCTTGCCTCGATATCTCCTCATCTGTAAACTCCCCCAGGGCCGAGATGACCGCACACATGGCACCACATTGAGCAACATGATCACTGGTGTCCCTCAGCTCTCACGGCTGCCAGTGGCACACAGTGGACAGCTCTGCTTAGGGTTTCTGAGGTACACGGACCAAGCAAGGGGAGGACAGGCTTGGAGAGCTTGAAGGGGTGAAGCAGCAGCAGCACACAGCAAAAGAGAAGCAAATGAGCCTCATCCAAATCTGCCCGTCTTCAGTCTCCCGGCCATGGGCAAGAGAGACTGTCGAGCATCCATGGGGGCTTCTTAGGATTGCAGTGGGTGGCTGTTCTGCAGTGGAGGCACAGAGTTCCTTCAGAGTTCCTATCAGCAATGCCAGCACTTGGGAGGCAGGGTGGGGGATCTTTGTGAGTTCAGACACAAACACAGACACAGACACACACATCCCCTAAGTGGATCAAAGAAAAATCAGAGACGGGTGTGAGTGTAGTTTATTACAGAGCCCCTGTGTAGAATGCATTATGCTTTGAGTTCAAGTCCTCGCACTGAAAAAAAAAATTATTTGAAGAGAAGATAAAACAAAAAGGTACCTTGCTTCACAGAGAATGAGGACTCAGGAAGTACAAGAAGCCACTATAAAACACAAATCTGGACATACATTTAGAAGATATACTAGTTAGGTTAGTACTGCTGTGATAAACACCAGGACCAAAAGCAGCCCGGGCAGCAAAGGGTTTATTTCAGCTTGCATTGTGTTTCATGAAGGGAAGTCAGGGCAGGAATTCAAGGCTGGAAGCAGAGACCATGGAGAAATGCTGCTTACTGGCTTGCTCCCCAGGCTCATGTTCAGTTGTTTTTCTTATACCTCCCAACATTCCCTGCCCAGCATCCCACAGTAGGCTGGGTCCTCCTCTCCCACATCAACCAGTAGTCAAGAAAATGCCTCCAGAGACATGCCTCCAGACCAATTGGGCGGAGTCACGTTCTCAGTTAAGGTTCCCTCTTCTCAAATGAGTCTAATTGACTATATATATATCACAGAATATAATACTGTCTATAGAAAGTAAGTGTTCATTAAACCAATAGGATATAATTGCTAGGTTAGGAAAAGACAGATTCTTATTTTACTTAGAAATCCCAGGACTCTTCAGAACATATACTCAACTACTGATGGCTATTAGTAATTTTAGGTATTTTTCTTTTCAGACAAACTAAGGAAAAAGTGTTATTGCAGGCTAATGGAATGTGCTTCCCAAATAACCTCTCACGTGCACTTGTGAGTCCCTTCTACAAAACCTATAGCCAGCCTTCGTTTCATAGTCCACTTCATTTTTAGGATCTTGAAAGGCTAGGGAGCAGGCAAGGCTCTGCCTGTTTTAGCATGGATAAGGCTAGAAGTGTAAGTTCTTTGGGCCTTAGTGCCTCCTTCAGAAACAGCAGGGCTGGGAGAGCTCTCTGAAGCCCTTTCCAGGGCCCAGTGCTACAGCACCATGACATAGTAAGGGCCGGCTGTTTTAAGTAGGTGATGTTTGCCCTGTGATTATTGAAACTACTGGGTCCTAACCATCTTCAGGGACATCTCAGAGGTTTGTGGACATGGTTTTATCATCCATAAATGATGGTAGGTTTCATCATTCATAAAATCCACCTCACTTTGTAGGAGTAAAGGTGGCATTACCAAGTACCAAATATTAAAAAACAAAAAACAAAAAAACCAGGATCAGTTAAGGCTGAAATCCTCCTCTTTCAGGGGTAGCTAATGACAACAGTAGCAACTTTATTGTGAGAAAATGGTCAGGAAGTTGGGTTGCTAGATTTGGGTTTGGGGAATACAGAAGAAGGGGTGCTAAGAGTTTCTTCAGTGGGTGCTCTAGCATGAGACTATAGGGTTGACAGCTAAACACAAGACCGAGGTAGGGACTGCCTGCCATCCCAGTTTGGAACACACACTGTCAGGGCCCCTCACTCTGGAAGTTTCTAGCTCTCTAATACCTAGGGCCTCTGGTGACTCTTGCTTGGGTATGCTGGGCTGGCTGGCTTTCTGCTGGCCATGTGACCTCTGTTTATTTCGACTAGTTGCAAAATTGTGTGTGCGCACAGGATGTCCTCATTGTCCAGTACATTCCTCCACTCCCTCTGGACCCAGTGTGGGGAGTTGTCTGCGACTGTGTCCTAAAGTATGTGCCTTTAAACTATTTGGCAGTATTCTACGGAACCTTTGGGGAGTACAATGGCTGTCCAGCCTGCTCTCCTTCAGAACATATTATTTTAAAAACATAATATTTTTTTCTGTTTTGCTTTGTTCTGTTTCATTTTGAGACATGATCATACTCTTAGTCTAGCTGGCCTCGACTTATAGCAATCCTCCTGCCTCAGCCTCCCAAGTGCTGGGATTATAGATATGAACCTCAACGGCCAGCTCAACAGTAGTGATATTATTAACATATTATTTCTTCTAAGGAAGATGGTGATAATGGGTCTTACTGGCACATCACCCATCCTGGGCCCTATATTAAGTGCTGAAGGGCTCACAAGAATGCCATGGGTGTTAGTGATTCAGTTTCAGGTTGGAAAGGCTTGAGGAGTCGAGTTTCTTGCAGAGGTCCCATGGTCATTGAACAGTGGGGCAGGATTTGTGAGTACATTTGTCCCATCAGAAACATTTGGGTTTTAGTGATTGTATTCCTCTTTCTAACTTATGCTTGAATCCTAAACCCCTGGGTATGGGAAGGTGAAGCACCTAGCAAATTTACTCTTTTCCCTCACCTCTTTCCTCCTTTCCCCTCTCCTTCTTTCTTTCTTTCTTTCTTTCTTTCTTTCTTTCTTTCTTTCTTTCTTTCTTTCTTTCTTTCTTTCTTTCTTTCTTTCTCTCTCTCTCTCTCTCTCTCTCTTTCTTTCTTTCTTTCTTTCTTTCTTAAAACAAGATCTCTTGTGTCCCACGCTGGCTACAAGCTTGCTAGCTGAGGATGACTTTGAACTCCTAACTCTCCTGCCTCCTCCTTTCATATACTAGGATCACAAATATGCACAACCACACTTAGTGTTTGAGATGCAATGATGGCCCCCAGGGCGGCGTGCATGCTAGGGAAGAACTATGCTAAGTCAGCGCTACCTCTAGCTTCTGAATCTCTGGTTACGTGTTTCCAGTTGAAGGGGTGGGGGGTGGAAAAGAGTTCATAGCGAAGAAAAACTGGCAGTGAAGTTGAAAGGGTAAAACCATGTGCAGACGTGGGGTACTGTGAGAAGGTAAGGAAACACGTGGGCTTGTCCTGTGACAAAGAGAGGGAACAGAGAGAGACCAGCAACAGGCCTTAGCCTTGATGTGCCAGAAGCAGGGAGAGTTGCCCAGTGTCCCAGAGGCCATGGGCCTGGTGCTGGTGGGGCTGTCCTCAGGCTGGCCAGGCAGTCTTGCTTCCGGTAACTGAAGAGTTCTGGCCTGTCAGGAAGAAAACATGGGTCTCCTGAGCATTTGCTGCCTGCTTCCTTTCACATCTGTCTGTTCCCCTCTGGTTCAGGGTTACAAAGTCCGTTCGTTCCAGTCAGAAGGTTGGCAGCTTGATCAATGATTTCCTGTGCCTTGATGATAAATGCCTTTCCTCTTTAGAAGATAAATTTGTGTTTTGAGGGGTCGATGCTCTTTGATTTCTTTATAATAGAACTTCATTCCAATCAGTTTCCTAACTGTAGCCTGTTCCGGGGCTCTTGGCCAAAACAAATTCTGCTGATGACAAATGACAGAAGCCACAGGAAAGTCATGTGCTCCTTAATTTAAGTCATGGATAAGGCCTTGGAGAGTGGCTAGGCCAGGGCCTCTTTACTCTATAGATCAGGAAACAGGGTCCCCGGAGAGAGGAAGAAGTGTGTCCAGGATCACGTCGCCACTTCTAGCCGGCTCCACTTCCCTGCAGGCTGTGAGGAGAGTGTCTGTGATTTGTCATGTTAAAAACTTGTCAAGACAGACCTCCAGTTCACGCTAGACCTACAGGCTGCCAGGAAATATTCATCCTATTTGATTTTTCCCCCCAAAAAACTTTCAGTTTTGTAGGCTGGGCACACAGGAATTTTTTTCTTTTAAAGCAGTAATGTTTATGCTTTCTTAATGAGCTCTGATTGTCTCATAAAAGTCATGTGTGATGACCCGGTGGACCAGGGCTTGGCAAAGTTTGGGGGCTAAATGGGTTCTGTGAAGTTTTATCAGCACATAATGTGTGTTCCTGAACTTAACCCCATAAAGGCAGAGTTGAGTACCTGAGGCAAAGAACTCGGGATTTGCAAAACCTAAAATGCTTCTGACCCTTTACAAATTTTTTTTTAAAGTATATGAATTTTTTTCGTTTTCCTTTTTTTAAATTTTATTTATTTATTTATTTATTTATTTATTTATTTATTTATTTATTTATTTATTTATTTTTTAGTGTATACAGAAGAGGGTGCCAGATCTCATTACAGATGGTTGTGAGCCACCATGTGGGTGCTGGGAATTGAACTCAGGACCTCTGGAAGAGTAGTGGGTACTCTTAACCTCTGAGACATCTCTCCAGGCCACAAAAAATTTTTTTTTTTATTTGAAACAGGATTTTTTAAAAAAAATTTATTTTATGTGCATTGGTGTGAAGGTATCAGATCCCTTAGAACTGTAGTTACAGACAATTATGAGCTGCCATATGGGTGCTGGGAATTGAACCTAAGTCCCCTGAAAGGGCAGCCAGTGCTCTTAACCTCTGAGCCATTTCTCCAGCCCTGAAATGGGGTCTTACAACATGTTATGTAGCTGAGGCTGGTCTTGAACTCCTGATCATCCTGCCCCCACCTTCCAAGTGCTGGGATTACAGTCTTGTGCCATTGTGTCTGGTTTATAGAAAAAAGGCTTGTCAAGTCCTGTGGAAGAACATCTGAGGAAACACAGTTAAGAACAGGGAAATCACTGTCAATGTCTCTCCCGCAGAGATGTAGGTTGACTGTGGTTTAACCATTTCACAGCTAAAAGTTTTCGAAGTCCTTGTTTCCCAACGATCAGCTCCTGGAAGGAGAGTGGATGGCTTTTAGATCTGGTTCATCTCTGACCTAATAGTACTTAGCATAGGACAGTGGTTCTCATCCTATGGGTCACAACCCCCTTGGGGTCATAGTTCAGATATTTACATTAGGATTCATAACAGCATCAAAATTACAGTTATGAAATAGCAACGCAATAAAATGGTTTGGGGTCACCACAACACGAGGAACTGTGTTAAAGGGTCTGAGCATTAGGAAGGTGGACAACCACTTGTGTAGAAGTTCTCAGCTTGCACAAACAGTGCTGGCTGCACCTCGCCAATAGTAACAAGCAATGGGAGAACACTTGCCCAGCATACACAAGGCCCCGGGTTCAATCCTCAGCTTGGGGCTCAGGGAGCATGTTAAATTTTTTTTTTTTTGCTAATGGATTTGGTTTGGACTCCACTGATTCAGGGGCAGGTTCAAGGCGGTGGTGTGTGTCCTGTCTGCAGTTACAACGTGCCTGGCGTTTGTCAAGCCCGCCATCAACAATATCTCTCTGATGACTCTAGGGGTCCCATGCACTGCCCTGCTCATTGCAGAACTGAAGAGGTGAGTGCCATTCTTTCTGTCTTTTGTTGCCTGGGTAACCATTTTCTTCTGGGGGACGTTGTAGATGAAGACTTCACATTCATATGCAGAAACATTTTTAAAAATTTTTTTATTTTTGAAATATTTTTAAAATTTATGGGGGGCTGGAGAGATGGCTCAGAGGTTAAGAGCACTGGCTGTTCTTCCAGAGGTCCTGAGTTCAATTCCCAGCAACCACAGGGTGGCTCACAACCATCCGTAATGAGATCTGGTGCCCTCTTCTGGCCTGCAAGCCTACATGTAGGCGGAATACTGTATACATAATAAATAAATAAATCTTAAAAAAAAAAAAATAAAATAAAAAAATAAAATTTATGTATTTTATTTTGTGCATATGTGTATATGTCTGAATGTATGTATCATGCCATGTGCATGCACCAGGAGTGCTCAGAGATCAGAAGAGCGCTCCAATCCCCAGAACTGGAGTCTCATATGTCATGAGCTGCCTGACCTGTGTGCTGAGACCAGATCTGGGCCCTCTGGAAGAGCAGAGTGCTCTTAACTTCTAAGCCGTCTCTCCAAGTCTTCCAGAAACATTTTATGTGGGCTGGAGATATGGATCATTCCTACATACAAAAAGAATGAAAGAAATTTATCTTGTATGTGGGTCTTCTAGCCACAAAATACATATGATCACTGATCTAATTTTAAGATTTGATGAAAACATTGTTTTGTTGTAGTTACCTTTAAAATGTATTTTAATCTATACTTCTCTTATGAACACTGAATGTCTTGATTTTTTTGAAACTAGCTCTTGCTATGTAGCCGAGGCTAGCCAGGCTGTGGACTAACTCATTTTGATCTTCCCACCACAGCTTCCTTAGTGCTGGGGTTATAAGTGTAATCTACCATGCTCATGAGTGGGCTTTTAAAAGCTAAAACACAAACAAACAAACAACAACAACAACAACAAAAAACCCGTGTGGATGCTTTGTCTGTATGTATGTCTGTGTACCACTTGCATGCTTGGTACTTGAGGAAACCAGAACAAGGTGTCAGATTCCCTGGAACTGGAGTTAAAGATGGTTCTGAGCCACCATGTGGGTGCTGGGAATTGAACCCAGGTCTTCTGGAAGAACAGACAGTGCTCTTTTTTTTTTTTTTTTTTTTTTTTGGTTTTTTTCAAGACAGGGTTTCTCTGTGTAGCTTTGCGCCTTTCCTGGAACTCGCTTTGGAGACCAGGCTGGCCTCGAACTCACAGAGATCCGCCTGGCTCTGCCTCCCGAGTGCTGGGATTAAAGGCGTGCGCCACCACCGCCCGGCTCAGACAGTGCTCTTAACCCTTGAACCATCTCTCCAGCCACCAAATGTTTTTTTTTAATACTTTTTATTGAATTTGTTCTTTGATAATTTCATATCTCTATCTGATATATTCTGCTTTCTCTCACCCCTGCTCTATTTCCCTCCCATCCATCCGTGTCGATACCTCTCACCCTTCCCTACGAATCTGTTTCTCATATGTTGTCTTTTTCTGATGTTCTGTTTAAATAGTTTTTTTCTTTTTTTGGTTTTTTCAAGACAGGGTTTCTCTGTGTAGTTTTGGCGCCTGTCCTGGATCTCACTGTGTAGACCAGGCTGGCCTTGAACTCACAGAGATCTGCCTGGCTCTGCCTCCTCAGTGCTGGGATTAAAGGCATGTGCCACTGCCGCCCTTTTTCTGATGTCCTGAGTTTAACCAGGGCTGTCTGTAGGAATATGGGTTTGAAACTGTCCCGTGGAGCCTGATGGGCTCACCCGTGAGTACGCAGCCAATGACTGCTCTCCCCCCAGAATTCACCAGTTGCCAGTAGTTCACCAAGCAGGGGTGGGGTTCCGTGGGCCCCTCTCTGATCAGTGATTGACTGCTGATAGGCCCAGTCTTGTGTAGACCCCGTGGAGGCAGCAGTCACAGCTGCTCTGTGATCATCGTTGTGACGGCTGTGCCTGCTCTGAAGGGGGCATTTTTGCAGTCCTTCATATCTTCCAGTTTTTATAGTCTTTCCAACTCCTCCTCCACGTTCCCTGAGCCTTAGAAGGGGTGATATAGATGTCCTGTTTCGTGCTGAGCACTCAACCATCGCCTACTCTCAGCACTTGAGCAGTCACGGGTCTCTGCATTCACTGCTGTTCATTGCAATGAGGTGTTCTTTGAGTGAGGCTGAGAGCGGCGTTTGTCTGTGAATATAAACACAAATACTTGGGGGCTGGAGAGATGCCTCAGAGGTTAAGAGCACTGGTTGCTCTTCCAAAGGTCCTGAGTTCAATTCCCAGCAGCCACATGGTGGCTCACAACCATCTGTAATGAGATCTGGTGCTCTCTTCTGGCCTGCAGGGATGCATGCAGGCAGAACACTGCATACATAATAAATAAATAAATCTTTAAAAAAAAAAAAGAGATGAAGGCAAAAAAAAACAAAAAACAAACAAACAAACAAACAAAAAACAACACAAATACTTGCAAGGCGATTTGGGTCCATGCCAATTTAGTTTCCCCCTTAGGGGCTCAGACCCCGTCAGTCATGGGTTTGACTAGGTTTACGGTACCACAGTTCTGTCTTCACTGAAGTTGGGTCTTCCTCCCTCAGATAGTAGTACTGTGGGACGTGTTAGCTCAGCATAGGAGATGATAATTTCTCTCTGGTCGCTTTGCTTCCCAGATCTGCTCTGCTCATTAGCAATAGCATCCCGGGCCAGAAGTGGCTCAAGAGGCCATTTGAACGTGCTGCCTGGCAGCAAAGGGGACTGCCAGATCTCCTTTACTTGGCTTCTCTGTGAAGCCTGCAGGGATAGGTTTGTAAGAGACCTGTTTCAGAAACCAGCTGACTTATTCCTAGAAGAACAGCTACAGTGGTATAAAAGCCTATAATTGAATAAAACAGAGAAATCTCCATTCTCCAATAAGCTTAATAAAAGACCCACATTTGTTTACTTATTTATTGTGTGTACATATGTGTGGGCATGCCTGTGTCAAATCGCATGTGTGGACGTCAGAGGACAATTTGTGGGAACTGGGTCTCTCTTTTCACCAAACGGGTTCTGGGGATCAAACCCAAGTTGTCAGATTTGGCATCAAGTGCCACTACCCAGGAAGCTATCACGACAGCTCCCTATTGATTTATTGACAGGTTCTCATGTGACCCAGGGTAGCCTTGGACTTACTATTTAGTTAGGTTGTCCTTGAACTGACTGCCCCTCCTGATCCACCTCCTGGGTATTAGGATTGCAAGTGTGTGCCGCTGCACCTGACTGTAATAAGCTTAATTATGGGTATCTGGGTGTTTAAATAGCCAGAACCCCATTGTTTGGAGTTGAGGGTTGAGTCAGAGGGGCTTGTGAGGAGGTCATGGCAGGGTAGGGGTGGGGCGGGACAAGGAATGACAGCAAATAAAGGAAGGATTTCTTGGTCCATTACAGGAAAAATTGTAAAATTCGATGGAGGTGATGGCTGAACACCTCTCAGTATGCTACAGGACACTGAATTATATGCTTTAAGTAGGCGGATTTTTAAAGTACATGAATTGTATCCCAGTAAAGCTATTAACAAAACCGTAAGCTCCAGGACCATGCCAGGTGATCCTGTCTCTGGAACCATGGGTCTGACCAAACTGCACATTTCCCATGTGGGATGTTCAGCTTTTCTCGACTTCTTGGTAGCAGTCTGTTCTCAGTGATGATGAGGAGATGTAGAGACAGAGAAAGTGTAGCCTATAATAAATATGTGGTGATCACATCACCAGTAAGACTGTGTAAGTCTGCAGACGTGTTCTACCACCGACCCACACTGCTTCTCAGGGAGAGATCTTTCAATAAAGCTCGAGTTGATCCATTGCCCTTCCTGACAGTGTTCTCTCACGCTCCTGTGCCTTTAAGACTCAGCCGTCGTCGGGTGGTGTTGGCACATTCCTTTAATCCCAGCACTTGGGAGGCAGAGAGCTCTGAGTTTGAGGTCAGCCTGGTCTACAGAGCGAGATCCAGGACAGGCACCAAAACTACAGAGAAACCCTGTCTCGGGGGGGCGTGTGGGGGGGAGGGAGACTCAGCTGTCACTTAAGTGTGTGTCTGAATTTCTTTTTGCCACAGTGACCACAGGTTGCTCAGAGAGATGCGTGCCTGTCCTGTGACCACGGTGACTGGCTAAAGCCTGTGTCTGTAGCTGTGGGACAGTGACTTGATTTTTCTGTCATATATTGCTAGACTTCTGTTGTCTCTATTGGCCTTCCTTCTGGGCCACAACTTCTCCATTTCCTCACAGCATGGCTTTCCTCCACATCTTCAGTGTGAACTTACTGAAGACCGTGTTCAAAAGCTGGTTCCTATTAAGAAACTACTTTGTTGGAGAAAAATTGGAAAATACAGACCAGCACAAAGGAAAACAATCTTTTATTAAACAGAATGTTTGGTAGTGCTTAGAACAAAGCTTGGCTCATTTCACTGGACAAAAGTAACTAAACTGTTGTAGAATATTATTTTACAGTATGTTACTTTTATTTTTGTTGCATTTGTTTAACTCCGTGAAGCTGTGTTACTGTGCCTGTCTAAAATACCTGATGGTCTAATAAAAAACTGAATTGCGAATAGCAAGGCAGGAGAAAGGATAGGCAGGGCTGGCAGGCAGAGAGAATATATAGAAGAAGAAATCTGGAAGGAAGGAGAGAGGAAGTAGCCAGAGAAGGAGGAGTACTGGGGGGTGGGGGGCAGCCACTCAGCTACACAGCAAGTCACGGAATAAGAGTAAGATTTACAGAAGTAAGAGAACCGGAAAAGCCCAGAGGCAAAAGGTAGACAGGATAACTTAAAGTTAAGTAAAGCTTGCTAGAAATAAGCCAAGTTAAGACCAGGCATTCATAATAAAGAATGAGCCTCTGTGTGTGATTTTGTTTGGGAACTGGGTGGTGGGCCCCCCAATAAAAAGAGCAAAACCCAACAATAACACTAACCTCGACTCATTGTCTCATGACGATAACTATTAGTCTTTTGTTGCT